CCACGTGCTCTAGGTGACCCTGCGTGTGCAGGGGGGTTGGACTAAATGACCTCTAGAGGTCCCTTCCAACCTTAAGCATTCTGTGATTCTATGATTCTTTGTTTATGCCTTGCCGGATCCAACCAGCAGATTCAAACAGCAAATTCCTCTCTTGGCAAATTTTCCATCCTCTGACAATGGCGGAGGCTTCAGTGGCAAGAACTGAGAAAGGTGGAAGGTTCCACCCTAACTTGAGGAAAGTTTTCCATCCCTAGCCTTTTTTTTCCCTCCGAAAGACGTGCAGATGTCTATCAGAAGGTAAAGGAAGCAACATGAGACGTCAGGAAAGCAACAAGCTTCTAGAAACTGCTAGCTCCCCCTGCCCCACGACCTCCAAACATTATCCTAACCTGGGAATGCCCCTTCCAGGTCTCCCTGGGGTTCATATTGACATTGACAAGGAAACTTCACAACTGAGTTCTTTCCGGGGCAAGATATTGACCTCACTTGTAATCTCTGTGTTGGAAGAACACAGAGACTGCAGAGCAGCTTCCATGGACCCCAGGGGAGAAAAGACCTGTGTGGGGGCAGTTCCCACTCAGCCTCAGCATCCATCCTCCCACTCAGACTCGCTGCAGCCCTCCAAGGAGCCAGGGAAGCAGCATTTCAAAACCAGCCTTGACTACGGCCACTGCACCAGCACCGGGCTAGTGCTGAGGCTCTTTCTGCCAGCACTTGCTGCCAACCCATTTCCCGGCACCACTCAGTGCCCCAGGGCCAGTGCCCCAGCATGGGACCTCCTGCCTCCCTCTGTGCAGCTCTGCTCAGCAATGGATGGGGCTGGTGACACTCCTGTTCTTGATGACACCACCTGGCAGCAAGAAAAGTGCAGTGTCTCATCCCTGCCACAGTCAGGGCTGCTCAACACCCTAGAACATCTGCAGCAGCTCCCAGCTATTCACTACACTAGTCCTATGGTGGCCAACAAGCACTTGCTATGCTGCTGAGGATGCCACAGGCATCCCGTGAGCCAGGGAGCCACCACGACCAGCACACACATCTGAAACATGCACTCAAAGACCCTCACACATTTTTTTTGCATCGTTTCTGCTCTTCTCTGGCTGGACATCATTGAAAGCTTCCAGGACAATTATTTTCTTGCTTACCTTGGAATTGGGAGGGAGGGGAGATGGCAGTGTTTAAATTTACGACGTGTGCACAGCTCTAATGCCTCTGCCCTCCTCCAGGTGCCGGCGKGAGACCACAGTGTTCTTTTAAATCACAGCTTTGGAGGCCAGCTTTACCTCTAGAGCTGCATTCACTAGCACCTTTAGATATGTCTCAAAGATCTAAAAGGCAGGTCCTGAGCTTCCACACTGAGCAGATTAGATCACCAAAAGCAGCCTTGCTGTTTTGAACACAGGGAGACCCATTAGCCAGTGCTGACTGTAGGGGCTGATGATGCAAAGGCTGAGGACGCAAAACCACTATCTGTAACATCGGGGCATTTATCTGTTGTGTATCTGCTGACCTGCACTATTCGGGTTTGCTGTCTGTTCTTTGCGTACCAGCCATTTCCCTTTAGAGCCACATAAATGAAAACCCAGAATTAAGGCCTGAGCCTCAGGAGTCAGTAACACATCACGCTGCCTGTCCAGTTAAGAGTGCAGGGCTTGCCCCGTCCCGCCAGAGCGTGGGCCGCCAGGTTAGCATCCTGTCTTGAGATCCTGTCATTTGCTGCCATGTCAATACATACTCCAATGCTTTATTCTAAACAGAATAGCAATGATTTCATCCTCTCTGCAAGGGATTAATTGTTATTTTTCAGTCCCACTTAGCTGATTCGTGGTATTTGGCTGCAAGCACATGCCATGGGGTTATAATGATGCTTCCTTGTATTTTTTAAGGGTGGGGAGGCTTTTAGGCCCTTGTGGTGTATTGCCTTTTGTTTCTCACAGTGTCCCACCCCACATTCCCAAAGCAATGATGTCTCCTCCAAGGTGACAAGAAACTGGTCCATCTTTGTCCTCTGGCACAAAGAATTGGGCTCCCAGCTCAGCATCCTAACCATATCCAACTGGGAATCTCCCCAGAAAATCTCCAGGTTGATTTGGTACCTCAGATCATTGCTGATGATGGAAGCCAGACCATGACCACGTTAGGGAAAAACTTCTGAATGTCTGGCTCAGTTCCAGATTATGGCCTAAGCAAGGATATTCCCTGCAGTCATTCCCAGGAAAAGAACAGGAAATTATGTTCCATCTTTTCTATAAAGAGAGATTTTACAGGAAAAAAAATAATACGCATGAAAAATAATCATGAAATTATCACTTACTCCTATGTTCAAGGAGCAACCAACCATCCCATCATCTTGGGGAGGAACTGTGGCCTGAAGCTCACTAAAGACCTCAGGATATGGGGGAACCAACAGGTCCATTTTACAGTCTGGGTTTGATTCCATAGCAGGTACTCTGAAAGCCAGATAACTCTTTATGGATACCAAAAAACAAATAAAAAAGTAGTTACTCTTGAGAAGAAAATATATACTAAATGCCAGAGTATTAAAAGGAAAAAGAAAGCCTTTGAGGCTGCAGTCTTGTCTCACAGCATCTTCAGCATCGCCTCTGCAAGGAACATTGTGAAGCTGTGGATCCAGACACTCCTGAACATTATTTCTGGCTGAATACAGGAGTTCATTTTTAAACACACACACAAAAAAAATTATTTTTGTAAAAAAAAGGTCAAAATATTCTTTTTTTGATAAATGAAAGTGAATGAAGTATTTTGATTTTTCATTTCAAAACAGCATTTTGTTTTAAACCTCCCTTCTCATCCTTCTAAGTCCTGGAGGTTTCTTTGGCCCTAGATGGGATGTAATCACACACCTCTGCCAGCCCCCTCTTTGCCTCAGCCTGTTCTACATGGACCGAAGGACATGTGCAGAGATGATCAGGACAGACAGGGCTCTCCTTAGAGTGACATCCCAGCTCTGTTTTCCTGCAGTACTGTAATAATCCCTGATTGCTCTAAGGGAATATTYTGGCTGGTAGTGGCAAAACATAACATAATGTATGAGAGATAAACAGGYTGCTGAGAAGTTAAGTCTCTAGCAGCCCTTTTTGGATGGTGACACCAACACTGAGGCCCCAGATGATGGTCTTTATTCACAGTTCTCTTCTCTATGTTCAGCCGGCTGTCAGCCACCACCCTGAAGACCTTACTGAAGTCTAAGGAGACCACGTCCACAACCTTTCCTCACACAATAGGAGGGTCACCTGGTTGTAGAAGGAGCTCAGGTTGCTCAGGCAGGACCTGCCTTTCATGAATCCATGTTGGCTCGGCCTGATCTGGTTGTCGCACACAAGCTGTGTGATTGCCCTCAGGATGATCTGCTCCATGACTTTCTCCAATACTGAAGTCAGTCTGACAAGCCTGTAGTTCCTCGGATCCTCCATCTGACTCTTCTTGTAGAAGTCACATTGGCAATCTCCAGTCATTTGGGACCTCTCTTGTTGGCATCCTCACATTCTTGTTAAGGAAACAAAGTTTAAAATAGTGACAGAGTCATTAGCCTTCAGGAGGTTGCAAAGAGTCTACAGTGAGGACTTGGAGTCTTAACCTCAGAATCCAGATGTTATGGAACACCTGACTAGGAGGAAGTACAGCAGTTTGTCTGGATCTAGGTACACTCAAACATGTAGAGCTCTCTAAAGCAAAGTTCACACTCCTTGTCTTGCAAAGAGTGCAACACCTGGATTGCTCGCAAACACGTTAGTGACACCATAAGGTGTCATCCAGCAGCTCTTGGAGATTGCAAATTAATGGTTGGATAAATAGGTTGCTCTTCTATAGGAACACAGTACATTCCTACTGCGTAGGCCCAATTGCCTGCGCTGRAAAACAGCTGCAGTCAATATCTGGACTCATTTTTTTTTCACAATGCATTCTCCAAAAGCTGCCTGAGAAGACAGAATCACAGCTCAGCAACCCCAACATGTCCACTGCTCACCAAAAACCCAGCTGCACTTGATCAGCACAGCTGACCTCAGTTCTGCTGACCTTGGCAAGGCAGGATGAGAGAAAGAGAAGTTTTRGAGAGGAAGGCATGGGAGTGCTTCATCCTAACAAAAGCACTGGCCACTTGGACATCAAGAGACAGAGCCAAGTGTCCAACAGCCTGGGCACACCTGCGTACTGAGCACTTTCCCAGCAAATGTTTGCTGCTCTTAGACAACAGCACAACCACACTGAAGAGTTGCACAATCTTTGTTAACAATTTTATGTGATACACGGGCCTTACTTTTTCGTCCTCCTTAGGAGGCAAGGAACAGTGAGCACTGGTTTCATAAATCTAAGTCACCAAAAAAACAGTAAGATTGGAATTTGATGTCCGTTTGTTGTCAGTTTTCAACAGAATAGCAGCCAGCTCTTTGATCTTCACCACTGCATTATCTGAGACTCGGAGGGCCCATGCTTCCCTCTAACTTATTTGTGAACCAAGAACTGGGAAAGATCCTGCTTCTCTACAGGTGATGACACCATAGAGTCCCCCAAGGTCAGAAGAGAAAGAGCTGAGGAACTACAAGACAGCTTGCTGAGAAAATTTTAACAGGGACTTATGTGCCAGTTGAGGGAGAAGAAAAAGCATGCTGCATAATTGGAGCAAGCCACCATGAAAGCAATCCCAAACTTAATTCATTAATTCACTCAGATAAGACTTCACRTGGTACTTAAAAGAAACAGCACTTTGTCTTTGCAGAAACAAGAAGAGCAAGAATGCATTCTGGCACTGTGCATTCACCAATTCACTTTTTTTTCTTCATCCTCTTTTTCACAAATGAGCACCAGAGAGAATTTTATAACTTGCCACAGGAACTGTAGTTGTGGACAAGGAATCACTGACACCGTCTCAGGATTTCAGTACCTCCGTCTCGCTAGACAGACACAAACACTGTACCCAGGGATCATCTGGGAGCCAGAGGTGTCCAGTAACCCACACGGGAATGCCTGGAAGTCACATTCCCTTGCAGGGTGTCACAGCGGGCGGAGTGTCCCCGCAACACACACACGAGGCAAAAGCTGCCTTCCCCCAGGACCCACCAGCACAGCATTCACCTGAACCGGATCATCAAGGGTTCCAAAGGGACTTTTTGGAGAGAAGCAGTTACAACTGGAGGGCTGTAGTTAAATGCGGCCAAACTTTTCCATTGTTATTTCTCAGTCGCTTGATGTTCTGAAAGATATTTAGAAAAATGACTTTAGCAGTCCAGTGCCAAACTGGGTGAGGGTAAAAAAAAAAAAAAAAAAAAGAGAGAGAAAAAAAGAAAATTGGCAGACATGTCCTTCATTCAGTTTGCAGCTTGGATGACATCCAATGACCAACTCAGGAGTTTTGACTGCTCTGGGAGACTAAAGACCATTCACAAATAATTTGATTTAGGGTCATTGAGATTCTTTTTATAAATAATTTTCATTGATAAGTATTCTTTTTAATGAGGATTGACAGACCTAATAGCAACTGTATTGTGTGCATAGTTCATCGTTCCTGTCTTCGCAAATGACTTACATATGTGGCGTGCTAGTTCCTTGTTCCCTGCACACGATCGAGCTTGTTCATGAAGCAATAAATGTCTTGCAGACAGTGAAAAGGGATGCTGAGGTCTTCTGTCAGAAGACATGTTCTGAAGCAGATTCACAGAGAAAGCAAAGGAAGTTTTCACCATTTTATGACACACTACAGTTCTGGGGACTCTAAACCCCTGCAAGACTTCAGTCACCCCTATATTGGTATAATCGTCTTTTAATTGCTCTGGCTCGAAGAGAAATTCTCTGGTCCCCTGTATAAACCAGAACACGCTCCTTTCTCCACTGTGGGAGCGCTGAACAGGAATTGTACCAAGGCATAACTTTGCAAGAGCAATGGGATGCCCATGAGAGTATCAATTGACTCCGAACCCATTGGATAGCCCGAATAGACGTGGAAAGACCRCAGAAGAATTCAGACAAGAATGGCTCCACAGTTCAAAATGCATGTTTCTCGGCAACATCCTTGTCAGGCACTCTCTTCTTTGACTTGCCTGGTAACAGTTACAGCTCAGCCACTTTTGTTATTCGGCTCATCTGCTGCTGGAACGGCTCTTAAGATTTCCTCCTGTGATGATAAAAGTTAATACGAATTCTTAGAACCAGTAGTTGTTTTGTAGTTGAATAATGGACTCCGACTTGAAGATGCTCAATGCAATAACCACATATGTTCTTAAAAGCTCTCTGAATGGGAATGTGAAACAAAAGTCCCATTGATCTTAAATCTCAAATCTCAACTCTGACTCTGAAAAGGCTACTTGCTTTCTTTCAGAAGAATTGAAAATAGTGCAATAAAGGACTAATACAGCAGTCAAAGATGGGAGAATGTCCCTAGCAGTGTTCAAGAAACATGTAGATGAGCATGAGATGATTTAGTAGGCACAGTGGTGATAGATTGGACTTGATGATCTTGAAGGTCTTTTCCAACCATAATGATTCTATGATTCTATGATTATGGGATGAAACTACCAACAGTTCCTCTTACTTAGACTACCAAAGCAAAGGGGAATACAATTGCTACTTACAAGACAAGTAGAGAGAAGAAATGCAAAAAAGTCATGAAAGGTGCACAGGAATCAACATCTGTAAAGAAGTTGTTGATATATTCTGAGTGAAGATGAAAAGATTCATGTGCTTGAGAGCAAGCAGGTCTGCGAAGGCTTTTAGTAAAATGAAGAGAAGTGCCAAGTGAAGCTTGATAAGCACATGGGACATATGGATAGGATTTCATAAACAAGAAACTCCAGCATGTAACCCAGGAGGTCTCCACAGGACCCCTCTCCAGTCTCTGGCCATACTGTTTTTAATAACTGCACGAGACACTAAAGGATTCCCTTGGCTCCTGCCATTTAGCTGTCATTCACCACCAGTGCCTTGCTCCACGCAGACACCCCAGGCTTGGGCACTGCTCTGCTTTGCATTGGCCACATCACCCGGTTTCAGTGTTGCGAGGCCCAGTGCAAACCTCCCCAGCACAGCCACAACGGGCTGGCCGTGAGGCTCTGGAGTGACACACTCGCAAATCAGAGCTCCTACYGAAAAGGGGAAGGTAGCAGGGGAAATAAATGTATTTTTGCTTGGCTCTGTTGGTTTATATAAACACACAAGTGCCTGCGTTCAAACCAATTTCAAGCTCAAAACCAGAGTATTTGGACAGTTGCTCTAATTAGCAACAGGATGATGCTGGGCAAATAGTGAGGGCCACCAMCACCACCTTGCCAGACAGGAAAAGTCAGTGGGTTCTATCAACGGAATCAAGAGGATACACCGAGGATGTACCTACTCCAAAATGAATGAAGGTGGTCTGTGTTTGAGAGGGAATCTCCCAAACCTCTAATGCTGGCTGCGTTTTAACAGCATCACCAATACGAGCAGTTCCCATCCCAGCACAGTCCTCTTGGGTGCTTTCCACATGTCAGCAGTTATATTTTACCAATTTTCCTGGTGAATAAAACATTTCCTGCATTTAAAACACTGTAAGGATACGTGGTAGCATTAACAAGAGGTGCTTATGGTGAGGCCTTATAATGTAATTCATTTCAAGGAAAAAAAAAAAAGAAAATAGAACTAATGAGGAGAGAGGGATTGCGACATGCGCAGCCTTCACCTTGCTACAGAGGGAGCGGCATGGGATGAAGGCCTCTCCATGGTGCTCCTTGCTCACCTGCCTCTCTAGGGATCCCCTAGGAATGACCTCATGGTGAGGCTGGTAGCTTCATAGGCTACCTGGAGCATCCTCAGCAGGAAGCAAGCTTTCCCCCAGCACCCACGGTGGATTTACACTCCCAGTTGTTGTCCATGAAGCGACAGGCAGGCAGGGACTGGAATTTTTTTGCCAAATGCAGCCTCCTGGGTTGCTTCCAGGCCCACACGGGGCAGGACTGGGAGAAACCATCCAGATTTGCATTCAYGCTTGCTTCTGATTTAGGCTTCAGTTCTGGCTGTGTTCTTAATGATTGGAAATGATGGGATCTCCAGGAAAAAAAAAAAAAAA